AAAATTTGGCCTTTGAAGTGCATTGAGTCATCATTACAACTACCTGTGTGCCAAATTTCATAGCTGTAAGGGCAATAGATTTGTCTGGACATTGCACACACACAAACACTTCCTTTTATAAGTATAGACTAGCTCATCCCGCTTCAGGGCATCTACCCTGTGTTATATGCACAACATGCATTTTTTGCCAAATTTGCGCATTCTGGCCCTATAGTTGATGGCTCCTTCGGGCTGCAGGCCTCTTCACCCATAAATCTGACAAATATGTCTTTATGAAAATGAAAATTATGCCTTTTAGTTAATGTCTATACCAATTGAAGATAATTTATTAATGACTAATCTTATAAAGAGCAATGTTCAAAGATTTTTTTTTAAGTGTTTAATTTACAAGGATTAAAATATAATCAATTAAACTATCAAGATGACACTAAAATGATGAGAGAATTATGGGAGGAAGAAAAAGGTAATGATAGTAAGTGAAAACACTTGGAAAAATTTTTGTATTCGAGGATCGAACCCACATCCTTATGTTATAAGCCTGATGCGTTGACTATCGGGACTTACAGGTTGAGTGAAACAGTGTCTTTTGTCATTTCGACTGTCATTTATATCAGATGCGTATAGCAGAAAAGTACCAAAAATACAATTGTAAGTTCCATCATGGTCATCTCAGTTTGTGAATTAACACAATTTTCTGTTTACTGAGTAACTATTTTGACGTTGATCTGAATGTTCCTTGGTTCGCCTAAGTCCATCTGCTTCATTTCTAACTGATCTCTTTTGAATCATTTCATCCAAAGTTTAATTATATTGTAGGAAATATAGTGAACTTTACAACTTAAACTCTTTTTTTTCTTCGAGAAAAGTCGTTTTGCACTAGAATGAATATAGTGGCAGGCTATTCTTAAAAAGTGATGCCTGACATGGCGGAGGCTACCAGTTTTGTTTTGTAAACAAAGTGATTGTTGCAATCGGCAAAAGTGAAATTAACCCCTTTTTTGTGCCACATACCTTATCATTTTATATATATAGATAGTTCATGTATTTAAAATCATCAAACTTCTAGCATTTATAAATACCCAACTTATTAATTTAAAGACATTCTGAATTTTTAAAACTTTTCAAACCTTATTCATTAGTTTTAATTTTCTTTTGTTTCATATAGGTTCAGGCCTTCTCCTCAGCAGTTTCCTATTATTGTTAGTCAAGATTGTGGTCATGAACCAACAACAAAAGTTATACTCTCATATGGTGATCAACTTACCCTTATCCAAGTAAGGAAACTGTCATTTCAAATTTGTATTCCAAAAGAGAAAATTTTAAAGATGCATTTGTATGTGTGATGTCTTGAGAAAAGATATAACAAATGATTTTATGCATTTTTCAGCATCCTGACCAGAGTGACATTCCACTGTCAGGTAAAGAGAAGAAATTTAAAGGATATTATAAGATAGCACGCCATTATGGATGGGCTCTAAATGAAACTTTCTTCCGATTCAATTTTAAATCTGTAATTATAGTAGAAGGTAAGCCATATTTTGTCATTTTAATTACTGTAATTAGAAGTAATTATGAATGATAATTTTCAAATGCATTGCTTGTATGTTCTTCTGGCTTTTGAAAACCATATTGCATTCAATAAAATAGCACATGTGTTGCAGGCCATTGACATAGTATAATTTAATAAATAGACTAGGCAAAAAAAAAAGAAAGAAAAACATGCTTTCTGCTATGAAAAAGATAGCAATTATAAGATTTTACAAAAAGAATTGGATTGTCTGTCATGGGATAAAAAAAGAAAAGATTAAGTTATACAGTCCTGGAAAAAAGTATAAAGTCGGTTGAAAAATCTCCATATTTAGAAAACTACTGAAATTTCAAACTATGCAAAGTTTTTAGGACTTAACGTAATGCTACCGAATAATGTACCAAAATATATTTGTAGAAAAACCCTGACATTTTTTGGATTATGTAAAAACTAGGGGGCTCTGCCCCCTGCTCACTAAAGCTTGCCAACCCTCAGATGCAATCCTCCCAGGTTTGCTATGCAAACCCTGTTCGCTTCCGTTGCTACAGTGAAGGTACTGCATGTCCTAGCACAATTATTGTAAAATCTTTATATATATGAATCGGCTTTATTTTTCTTCTGATGCTTTAGCTTAAATCAGCACAGAATAGAATTTTTTAGCCTCAAAAAAGATATTTTTCTTCAAATAAAACTTTCAAAGAAAATTATGAAAGTGCATAAATGAACAAATACATAAGAGTTGCAAAATTAAAACAAATATAATTATTCTAAAAATTAATTCTAAAAGCAAATTAGATTTAATATTATTAATAAAGAGATTGTGGTGTGACATTTTAGCACTGTGAATATAAAAAAAAGACATTATTATGAATAAATAAAAATCTTGAGCTGATTTCCTTTTAATGCTTTCACCTTAATCGAGAAGGAATAAAATTTTTTGGCCTCAAACCGTAGCCCACCTTATTTGCAGGTACGATGCTTTCAAATAAAACATTATTTGTAGGCACTGTGTGATTGAATAGAACACTATTTGCAGGTATTGGTGAGTTTGAATAAAACTTTATTTGTATGCACTGCACTGGCAGATGAAACGTTAATTGCAGGTACAGTAGTTACAGATAAAATGTTATTTATAGGTATTTTCCAGTCTGTTAACTTGTACATTCATGTTTTCTTGATGACACTCCACTATTTTAATTATTTCAGAATTTTATTATCAGTTAACCGTTTAACTTATTTTATGCTATTGGTGCCATCTGCTTATGAATTTAAGAAGAAATTGTAAAAAAAAATAATGAATTCTAAATTAAAAACTAAAATGTAGAAAATAATTAAAATAAATTACTTTTTAGTACACTAATGAAACAGTGTTAACCAGTTTTTATTCTTTTCTTAATTTAGAACACTTGTAAATTGGAGTGATGGAATTTGCATTAGGAGTTATTTTAAATTTATCGGATAATATACCATGTTTGGAAAAAGGAATAAAATCTAGTAAAAAAATAATTTTTCTATAAGTTTTAGGAAAATATTATATTAAAATATTATATTATATTAAAATATTATATTTTATTAAAATATTATCTGGAACTTAAATTATCCAAAATATTAGTCATGCGGCAAAGAGGATGGGGGGGGGGGGGGTGTTTAGGAATATGTAAGAAAAATGTGTAAAGATTTTTTGGAAGTTTTTAATTTTCAAGGATTAAAAATGAATTGATTAAGGTGATACTAAAATGAAGAGATAATTCTGGGAGGCAGAAGACGGTAATGATGGCGAGTGAAAACATTTGTAGAAAAAATTTGTCACCCATGGACCGAATCCTGGAACATTGAATTGCAAGCGTTGAACAAAGTAGTCTGGTGATTACACCGTCTGATTGAATAAATAAACTGAAAAAGCATTTTTCTCCAATACTAGAAACAAGTACAAGTTTTTTGGTTACAGAATTGTTTTATTCTTACGTGTTTCAATACCATTCTGAGAGGATGACAATTAAAAGAAACCGAAAAAGCCAAAATACTAGCTGTTAAAGACGCTGGTTACAGTGGCGCTGAAATTGCACAAAAAATTGGCAGATCGAAGGCTGTAGTTAACTGCTTAATCATTATACCTGGTAGCTATGACATAGAAAACAAACAGGAAGACCAGAGATAATTTTTTCAAGGGCAGATGCAGAGGCTTGTCTGCAAGCAAAAAATGTTTTTAGCTCAAATTAAGGATGAGATACTGTTGCCCTGTGTTAGTCGAACAATAAGAAATGCACTGCATATAAATTCTAATGCTGTGTGCAAGAAGTTGAAGGAAAATCTCCACTTTCTAAAACACATATTTATTCATTTATAAAATTTTGCCCGGGAACATTTAATGGCTGGCACCAATCAGAATGAGGTTGGGTTTTCGGACGAAAAAATGTTTTATTTAAATAATTTAGATGGATTTAAGTTTTAATGATATGATCTGCATAAAGAATGCTACCTTTTTCAAAACGCCAATTCGGAGAGGAATCTGTCATGGTTTGGGCCGCATTTGTTGCGGTTGTGCAATGCATATTTCATACTCCACAAAATTCTAGATGAAAGCAGTATCCTACAAATTCCTGGTGAAAACTCTTCATTGGCCATCTCGGAGTCCCGATCTGAACCCAATGTGAAAACTTTTGGGCATTCTGGCTTGATATATTTACATGAATGCATGACAGTCGACAAGCAAGTCTGATCTAAAAACCATAATAAAAAATTGCTGAAATAAAATTGGCCTGGATAACCTCTCGTTCTCTTTCTGGTTCTTTGGGTCGACTGTTAATGCAAGTAATAGAAAAATGAGGTTCCAACATCACTTACTAAAAAATAAATCATATCGACTCTATACTTTTTTACAACTTCAACTGTATTGTAATTTCTGTAATTTTTTATAAAATTTTACATAATGTAATTAAACTTATTTTTGCTGTGATTTCATTATATGATGAAGTATCCTTACATTTCATAAAATTATGATATGTATTTCTAGTCTTATGTCATGCATTTTTGCGACTTTATATTTTTTTCTGGGACTGTATTTTTTTTCCGCTTTTCTAACCTGACTTGAGTCTTTTTTTTTGCATATGGCAGTTTGATCATTAAATAAACTTCTATTCTCAAATGATATTGATTAATAATGTCTTATGTATTGAGAGTAAGGAGAATGTTGATCTCTCTCTCTTTATTTATTTACAAGCTTCTTTAACTGTCAGCCATTTCACCTACTGTACTGGTTAAATGTAACGTAATTATGTTTAAAAATTATTGAAAATTAAAAATATTTACTTTAATTTAAAAAATATTTATTTATTTAAATGAGAACTATTCATCAAAATACTTTCATATTGAACATTGAGCCAAATAAGTTAGTATCTATGAATGACAGAATGCCTTCCCATGTCCCTGTTCCTGCAATCATTACAGTTAACACACCAAAAGATACCAACAGCACGTGGTCACCCTCCCAAGTACTGACAGCACCCGATGCTGCTTAACTGCGGTGATCTGTTGACAACCGGTGCTTTCAGTATGGTATTGCCATTGTATATGAAAGACAAAAGGTTAAACAGAAAATTCAAACTAATTAAAATATGAAATAACCAAGTAAAGTTTAAATGTATCCTTTCACTCCAGAAGAGCATATTGTATCCAATAGCCATCAAAGCGAATAATGAATGGCAATCAGTTTCAGAAAAGATTTATTCAGAATCGGTCAATAAAATTAGATGAAATATTCAGCTTTAGATATATCAATTCAAACTTTCATATTGGAAAAAAAAAAATCTTTATGTTGTAATATAAATATATATTGTGTTCTATTTTTGGTGCTGCAGTGAAATTCGTACAGTAAGTTGTATAACCTTTAAATAAATATCGGTGAAAAGCTAATTTTCTGCATTTTAAGGCAGGGCAACAATGGCTTTTCTGTGATAATTCTTGCAGAGGATGTTGATGAATAATTGCACCAAAACCCGTTTTGCTTTATCTTCAATTTAAAAAAATTAATTCATTTAACTTTCGAGAAGAACTTTCCAAGACTTGTCAATAATGAGTTATGTTTATCAGTGCTTGAAGTCTTCATCTGGAAGCTAGCCTCATCAAAGGATGTTGGTCTTTTGTTTATTTCTGTCCTCTTATCAGTTTAATTCTAGTGGTTATGAAGTTGTCATCTTCTTTTAAGAGGAGGCAGGGTGTTGAATAAATCGGGTTGCATTTTAAAAGTTGTTAAAATTAGAGAAAGATTTTTATGACTTCCAAATTAGTATGATTGGAATGCTTGTTTTCTGCATTTTAAGATGGTTTGCATATTATTTTATGTAATAGTGTGTTAAACTGTACAGAAATATAAAAATTTTACTCTGTGTTTAATTAAAATTAAGGAAAAGAAAGAAAGAAAAAAAGTCCCAAACGGTGCTTAAGTGAGCAAAATTGAATGCCACTTCTACCTTACCAAGAAATGCCACTCTTCAATTCATTTTCTCTCATATATTGTTCTTCTGATACTGTTTGATATTTTTAAGACTTGCATATAAATTATTTTTATTAATTTTACGTTGCTGATTTAAAATGACACATCTCATAAGTTTTTAAAAGTAATATAAATCATATTAGTCAGGTTTTAAATATATCTTTAAAAAAAAATGTTAAATCATTAAAATTCCAGTTTGTTTGAGTCATGTATGTCATTTTATTTTGCATTTAGGTGAAGTTTTTGGAGTTGTTTTCTATAAAAATGGTTTGGAAAAATAATTAGGGAACAATTTTATGAAAATCAGATATATGATTATTAAGTGATTTTTGTTTTTACATTATATTGAAATTTTCAGCTTTTGAATCATGTGTTATCCAGGGAAGATGATCTTTTCTTCCCTGATCTATTTGACAATATTTACTTCTTATCAGGGTTTATTATTTTTTTTTGAGTGTTAATTTTCTTAATATTCTTTATACATTTTATCATTATATTATTTTGCTGTGTTTGCCTTGTCTTAAAGTTATTTTGAGGGCAAAAATATGAGCTTTTAAAAATTAATGACTTAAGGAATTAATATTGTAAACCTTCTTTTGCATTATTTTGACAAATTTTAAACCAAAGAATATGCTAATCTTTGTCATGCATTAAGTTTTTATATTCACTTAACTAATTAACACTTTCATTTAATTAACACAGAAATGAGCAACTCCATGCATTTATAATATGTGCATGGATATTTAATATTTCACTACATTTGCTTGCAGACAATATAGTATTTATATGTATTGCTCAATGATTACTAGTAATTTTCTTATCCGTCAAAGATTTGACTATTTTTATGTCCCTCAATTGAGTTTTGTTTTTAAAAGTTAATTAAATGAAATAGGTAAAATTAGAATATTTCTTTATTATTAATTCATTGGTAGTGAATATTAACTAGATTTTTAAGTGTTTCTTTTGATACTGGATATATATTTTACTTGTATAAATAATTTAAATAGTAAATAATCTCAAAAAATGATACAATAGAGATAAAATTGGTGTATTTGACTAATGTTACTTTTTAAAATCCTTATATCATGCTTTAGATAAATATATGTTCGTAACTTTTTTAATGTTTTGTTAGACTATATGCACATAATGTTTAATGCTTTTAATTACAATGAATTGTTCCATTTTTTTATGCTTAAAAATTGTTTTTAAATTTCAGATGATTTAGATATTGCTCCTGATTTTTTTGAATATTTTCTGGCGACTCATCCAATTTTACATAGTGATCCAACTCTGTGGTGTGTCTCTGCTTGGAATGATAATGGAAAAGACAGTTTAGTTGCTTTTGAACCAGGTATTTAACCCCTTGAGATTGTTTAGAAGTATTTATAATATACTTCTATGAATAACTGACATGCTCTGGTTTAATTTTAAATAATAAATTGTAATATTTTGACTTGCCTTCATATTAACAAGAAATTTTTATTGAAAGGAGAGGGAATCAATCTAGTTTTAATAACAGTAAATTATATTGAACTATTTTCAGCTATTATTCTTTAGATGCCATATAAAAATTTGCTTTTTTAAAAAAAATAAAACGTATAGTTGCTAAAGTAAATGAAAATTTCCAAACTAATTGTCCAATGCACAGTCTTGTAGATATTATATCATCCAGTTAGAAAAGAAAATCCCTTCCAAATTAATATATATATATATATCTACTGCATTTCTTCTTCTATCTTATGAATATTAATTTTCTATGGAGTTTAGTTATAAATGCACTCTTAATATTCTGATTTTATGTATATTCCTTGTTGCTAAGGTGAAAATACTTGCATTTTTTTTTCTTTTTATTGTAAAATAAAATCTGTTATAAGGTAGCATTTTATATATTTATCATCTGCCAAACTATAATAGTTCCATAAATATTATGTGACAGCATTAATTTAATTTGTTGTTTTAAAATGTGCAATTTTCACCTTGTTGGAGTGCTTAATATATTTTCATGTTATGCATCTCAATTTTTTGCAAGTTTACTTATTTAAATGAAAAAAAAAAAAAAAAAACTTTTGTTTCAGAATTACTGTACAGATCAGACTTTTTCCCTGGATTAGGCTGGATGCTGACAAAGTCACTTTGGATAGAATTGGCTCCTAAATGGCCAAAAGCGTAAGTTACAGATACGAACTTATCTTTTTCATTAATTCATTTTTTGCATTTGCTCTGGAGACATTCACAAAAATCACTACTTTTAAGGAAAACAGATCAATCCTGGGGAAGTTTATAAACATTTTTCTCTCTTTTTTTTGTGTCATATGAAAACAAAATTTCTGGATTCTTGTATACTAATAATTTTAAATCAATTGATTTGTAAAATACTGCTTTTTGTATGATTATTTCTTTAATCTAAAAGTTTCAACCATATCCAAGTAAACTGATTTAATTCCATATTTGATATACTTTTTTATTTTGCACTTTTCCTTGATGGCTCCTTGTCTTTTACTGTTCCGTGCAATTATTTTTTTATGAAAGAATTTCTGGTGTCTTTCCATATTATATTATGGAAAGATATAATAATGGTTAGTAGAGTTTCAGGTTTCCTGTGAAGGTTTTAGTTGAACTATCATTTTCTAAAATTTGCTATTATTCCGCAAATGATCTGCTATTTAAGTGTGATATCGTATTGATCATTTTGCAAACATTGAAATAACATTTCAGCCTCTAGAACTCAGAAAAAATTTTCTAAATAATACGAGTATTTTATTCTCAAATGATAATTAAAATGTCCTGTGACTGGTAAACATTTTAGTTTTGCCAGTAGTCAAGGTTATTTTAAATAAGAAAATCTGAAGTTAACAGTTGAAAGTTATTATTCAGAACTTCATGCTTTTTCTATCTTTAGATAAAAATGATATAAAAACGGAAATCAAATTGCATTGAGATTAAGTATAAAATGTTTACTTAATGCATAGAGGAATAATTAATTTTAATATACTTATTGGAGGATTAGAAACTTGAAGTAAGATATTGCCATTGGAGGTAAATCATTGACTGAAGAAAATGAGAGCTCTCTGCCATTGAAAAAGGCTTAGTTACTGATATCTATCTTACAGGAGCTACATTAGCAAGAATTGTAAACCTGACTGATATTTTAAAAGCTTTTACATGTGATATCCAGTGTCTAGAAGGGTTTTTTTTAACAAAAGAAATTATGTGCTAAGTAATGTTTAAAAAATTAATGGATGATGTTTTGTTCCTGTTCATCTATACTTAAAAAACAGTGAATAAGTTTTGCAAGTCACAGATGAAAAAGAATAAAGTTGATCTGCAATGCTTTAAGATGTGTAATTCAGGGATGAGATTCTTCTGCTTTTTTGTTATTTTGGAGAAATTTCGCGTTTTTCTCTCTCAAAATTCCGGGGTTTTTTTTCCGGATTTCCATTTTTTTTTTCTTTCGGATTTCCGTTTTTTTTTTCTTTCCCCGCCGCAAAAATTTTCTTTTTCTTCCGAAAATTCCTCTTTTACACAAAGAAGAGAAACCTTTCTATCTTCCGTTTTTGAAAGAAAATTCTGGGAAAATATGCTCGACCATGCGGCTTAACTCCACTGGCTGGGAAACCAGCTGATTCATCTTCTACTGACGAATCAACATTATATCAGCAAGCTCTACAAGGATGAACATTCCAACATATTCTGTGCCATTCAAAGTATTAATTACCACCTTTTTTGCAGAAAACAAAGCCTCTGTGGCATATTTTGCAAAAAAAAAAAAAAAAATTTTTTTTTGCATGAACATGTTGAAAAAAATTTAGTTAAAAACTTAAGGTCATCTTGTAGGGTGTACCAAGATGAAGAAATAAAAAAAAAGGAACAAAAACAAATAAATAAACTACATCAAAAAAAGAAACTCCTATCAAAAGAGGTAGCTAAAAAGCTGTGTGCAAATGCAGCAAAAGAGCAGAGAATAAGACATAAAAAAAATCTTCACAAAATAAAAAATAAAACCAATGATTTACCTAGACATTCTAGAGATAATGTAGTCCTGACAACTATGTCAGTAATTAAACAAAGAGAT